GAATATAGAGCAGGACTGCCCCAGACATATGAATATAAGAGAAGCCATGTTGGATCAGACCGGTGGCCCATCCAGTCCAACACTCTGTGTCACACTATGGCCAAAACCCAGGGGCCATCAGGAGGTCTACCTGTGGAGCCAGAACTCCAGAAGACCTCCCACTCTTGCTCCCAAGCACCAAGAAGATAGAGCAATACTGCCCCAGACATAAGAACATAAGAGAAGAGAAGCCATATTGGATCAGGCCAGTGGCCCATCCAGTCTAACACTCTGTGTCACACAGGGGCCAAAACCCAGGGGCCATCAGGAGTTCTACCAGCAGGGCCAGAACCCCAGAAGCCCTCCCACCAGTGCCCTCCAAGCGCCCAGAATACAGAGCATCACGTTCCCTAGACAGAGTATTTCCCTCTTTACCTTGTGGCTAAAAGCCACAGATGGACCTCTGCTCCATCTGTTTATCTAGACCCCTCTTGAAGCTTTCTATGCTGGTAGCCACCACCAGTTCCTGCGGCCGTGAATTCCATGTGTTAATTACTCAGCTTTCTTTTGGTGTGAATGAGCACTATGAGGATGACATGGAGCAGGTAAACGGGAAACTGGGAGCGTTTTGCGGTCCCAGATCTGAGGCCCTCCACAGCTCCATCCTGTTGAAACAGGGAGGAGAGGAGAGTCACAGAATCATAGAACTTTAGAGTTGGAAGGGACCTTGCAGGTCATCTAGTCCAACCCCCTGCACTCTGCAGGACCCATGGAAAAGGAGCATCCTTCACTGTGAAAAAGAGCAGGGTTGCGATCTCTGGGTTGGGATAGAAATGGAGATTTTGGGGGTGGAGTCTGGGGAGGGTGAGGTTTGGGTAGGGGAGGGACCTCAGCAGGGTACAATGCCACCGAGTCCGCCCTCCAAAACAGCTGTTTCCTCCAGGGCAGGCGTGGCCAAAATTGCTTAACGTTAACAGCCACACAGAATAAATCTCAGATGTTTGAGAGCGGCGAGACATTAAACAAATATCACACGCGTTTTTACTGAGAAATGTGCAAATTTGCCTTTTATTAACATTAAATGAGGCTGCCAAACACAAAAACAAGAAGGGTAATAACAGATATTGATGGTATTTATTTATCCAATTATATTTCGGGGTGGGGGGGGCTTTGAGAACACATATAAAGTTAAAAGTTGCTTTCTTTCTCTGCTCCCCCCACACACACCTCAAGCCTACCCAGGGATAGGAACACTGGCTGGGGAAAGGAGTACCGATCGGGCTAGAGAAGGGGCCTAGAGAACCCTAGAGAAGGGGGGGAACGAGAGGCTGCCAAACTGCAAGCGTAGCAGCGCCTGACTTCTCTTTCTGCCCTGGGGAAAAACTTTGAGTCCGGTGGCACCTGTAAGGCCAGCAAAGATTTATTCGGAATATGAGCTTTCGTGTGCACTGCACACGTCTTCAGCTATATTGGAATGGTGGCTAGAGTTCAAACTTATAGGCAGAGGCTGAACAGCTAATTAACATGTAACATGGTGCAGACGCTTTAAGGCAGGGGTGTCGAACTCATTTGTTATGAGGGCCGGATCTGACATAAATGAGACCTTGTTGGGCCGGGCCACGTGTGTCTTAAATTGTAATGCCAGGCAATGTTCCCTCTAAGCTATGGAGCCCTGTGAGCAAAAATTCTATTTTGTGAGTTATTGGCATTAAAACGGTGAGCAGGAGATCTGGCTGCTGCATAAATTAGTTTGCTCTGGAGCCATCCTTCCTGAGCTAAGACAAAAATGTGTGAGCCAGAGGCTAAAAAAACTGTGAACTAGCTCACATTAACTCAGCTTAGAGGGAACACCCAGGTAGTGGAGAGATAAACTTCATAAAGGACACAAACTCGAAGGTGTTTTTTTTTACTTAAAATAAAAACATGCTTAAAACATTAGCACCCTTGCAATATTTTGTTTATTTTACCGTGTCTGATAACTGACACCTCTTGCTCTGAATTATCGCATCAAAGTGTCTGTGCTGTTGCAGTCTTGAGTATGCTGCTCAGGTGTGTATCTGTAAGCTGCAAACCTACGATGACGCAGCAGCAGCAGAACTGGAAGAAGAGGCAGAAGACAGCAAGTTCCACTATGGGCCTGATAGAAGCCCTCCGGGGGCCTGATTCTGCCCCTGGGCCGCATGTTTGACACCCCTGCTTTAAGATATGCAGAGACAAAACTAAATAACAAGCTAAGGTTAATAAGGCCAACAGATGTTTTTATTTAACTAAGGGGGGAAAGGACAACAAAGTAATAAATATGTCAAAATAGGGGAAAGGAAAGGCAAGGCCAGAAAAACTCCAGAGGGCAGCTTTTGGGATACGATCTGCGTGACTGAACAGGGCAACTGAATTTCTACGCTTTTGTCTAGGGAGTCCCGCGGACAAGGCATTGCTGAAAGCTGGAGACAGAATCCTGTTCCTCAATGGCCTGGACATGAGGTATGAACTGGCACATCCCTGGCCTCTCTCCCTTGGCTGTGATGCACGGAAGGGCTGGCACTGCACAGTTCCCCTCCGGGTCCCTCCCTGGCCTCCCACCACACAGGAGCCTGTACATAAGCCGGCCATGCGGAACGGGCTCCCTGGAGCTGAAAAGTTGCTCCTTTTCTCAGACTTCCAATGTCTTCTGCCCTGCAGGAACTGCTCCCATGAGAAGGTGGTGTCAATGCTCCAGGGCAGCGGGGCGATGCCCACCCTTGTGGTCGAAGAAGGCATTGTCAGCTTTTCAGGTGATAAGATCATTCACATTTGCGGGGGATGGCTTGGAAGGGCAGGGCCTTCTAGTTGGCACAGAGGTCGCCTCTACAAAGGCAGCGCATAAACATCAGAAAAGCCCTGCTGAATCATACAAGTGGCCAGCCACTTCCCCTGGAGGTCCAACGACAGGAGAGGCCGAGGCCTTCCCCTGTGAAGGACATCAGAAGAGCCCTGCTGGGTCAGACCAGTGAGGGTCCATCCAGTCCAGCATCCTGTCTCACACAGCGGCCAACCAGTTCCTCTGGAGGGCCAACGACAGGGCAGAGAGGCCGAGGCTTTCCCTTGATAACCTCAGAAGAGCCCTGCTGGATCAGACCAGTGAGGGTCCATCCAGTCCAGCATCCTGTCTCACACAGTGGCCAGCCAGTTCTTTTGGAGGGCTGGCAGCAGGCCATAGAGGCCGAGGCCTCCCCCTGATAAGTACACCAGAAGAGTCCTGCTGGGTCAGAGCAGGGAGGGTCCATCTAGTCCAGCATCCTGTAGCATCCAGTGGCCAGCCAGTTCCTCTGGAGCTCCAACAACAGGGCACAGAGGCCGAGAGTTTCCCCTGATGTAGCTTCCTGTCTCTGAATTCAGAGGTTGACTGCCTCTGAATGTGGAAGCTCCCTTTAGTCACCATGGCTTGTAGCCACTGACACAAGGCCAGCCAGTTCCTCTGGAGGGCCAACAACAGGGCACAGAGGCCGAGAGTTTCCCCTGATGTTGCTTCCTGTCTCTGGATTGAGAGGTTGACTGCCTCTGAATGTGGAAGCTCCCTTTAGTCACCAGGGCTTGTAGCCACAGACAGACCTCTCCTCCACACACTCCCCCCGCCCAAGTGTGGGGCCCAGTGTTCCTGGAAATCATCCTACTCGGGACCTTCCCAAGGGGTAGGGGGAGGAAAAACCATGCTAGGTCAGGCTGTTCCCAGCTGGTTTAAGCGTAAGGCGCCAGCTACAGTTGGGACAGCTCTCTTGAGCCCCTTGATGTCCCCACATCTGCGCCTCACTGTGGGTGACCTTTTCTCACACGAGAGTGCCTTTCAGGAGCACCTCCTATTGGATTAGGTGCAGCAGCCACTCTGCACAAAGCTGCCAAAGGCTTGTGGGCAGACAATATAGCAGTAGGGCTGGCTTGTTCGCAGAATTGCTGCTTAGGCTGGCAGAAGTGATTAACTTGCAGCGGCTGAGAACCGTCATCTCAAGTGGTTGACAGCCTGCAATTGAGAGATCTATCCTGGTAACAGCTTTCTATTGGCTGAGTGGCTTTCCTTTCTGCACTGAGAACTTCAGCCCCACCAGAAAAAAAATCTGCCCCACAAGCCACAACATCCTGGCTAGGGGCCTGCTGGAAAGAGGAATCAAGGCAAGACTGACTTCTGGCGACCTTGTAGGGTTTTTAAGGCAGGAGCCGTTCAGAGGTGGTTTGACATAGCCTCCCTCTGCAATAGCATCCCTGGACATTCCATCCAAATACTGACCTGGGCTGACCCTGCTTAGCGTCCAAGATCTGATGAGATCGGGTCAGCCTGGACCATCCAGGTTAGGACTGAAAGACTGCTGGTGGAACATGCTATCAAGTCACAGCAGATGTATGCCCGAAGGCAGGGCTATTTTTGGGCAGGAACGCACAGGAACGGAGTTCCGGCTGGCTCCTGAGTTGGCCACGCCCAGCAGGAACTCATTAGCATAACAGGCCACACCCAACAGCAGGAACTCATTAGGATTGGCTACATTAGGGGTGTGTGGCCTAACATGCAAAGGAGTTCCTGCTACAAAAAAAGGCCCTGGGTTTTGACAACAAACAAGGTAAACAGAATAAGAAGCAAAAGGTGGGTGTGGCTGGATGACCACACTTCTGGTAACATGGGGGTGCGGCCTAATGGGCTAATGAGCTGTGCTGTCAGGGGCGTGGCCCAATAGACTAATGAGTTTGTGCTGTTGGGTGTGGCCTATTATGCTAATGAGTTCCTGCTGGGCTTTTTCTACAAAAAGAGCCCTGCCCCTCTGCATGGCATGCCACTTTCGCTTTGATTGATTGTCGGATTTTATGGCAGTCTCCAGACTGCATGCTGCTTTCATTTAGTTTGATCTCTCAGTTTTATGGAACTGTCTGCATAGATTTATGGCCGTTTTATGGCCGTTCAGGGGTGACTCTGCAGCAGTGTCCCCTCTAAGCGGAGTTAGTGTGAGCTAGCTCACAGTTTTTCAGCCTCCAGCTCACACAGTTTTGTCTTAGCTCAGGAAGGAGAGTTCCAGAGCAAACTAATTTATGCAGTGGCCAAATCGCTCGCTCACAACTTTAATGCCAGCAGCTCACAAAGTAGAATTTTTGCTCACAAGACTCCACAGCTTAGAGGGAACATTGCTCTGCAGTCAGCACGGCATTGGCCCAGGGTATTTGAATGTGGTTTTGAGCCACATCTTTTTCTGTTCCAGTGTGGGTTTGGTAAAACAGTGGAGCAAATGCTAGATGCAGACTGGGCCCCTAGCGTGGAGACGAGGCAGACAGCTGGATCTACATCATATCCTGTTGATGGGCAAAACCGCTGACGCTTATTTTTAACTTCTACCTGAGCCCACGCTCAATCTGTGCGTTTTGGCACCCGGGTCCTCCTCTCGCGTTTCTACCCAGGCGTCTCAGATGAAGACAGACTGTCGTCGTGAACCGGAGCGGGCCTTTTACCTGCGGGGCGGATTCATCTTCTCCCTTTCACCTCCATAGAGAGACGCTTGCAGTCAGGGGGTTCCGATCCAGATTGTGACTTTTCTTTCTGTGCAGGCGTGCCCTGGGAGAGCTTCCTCCTTCCTGCCCGTTATGCCCGTTGTCTGTGGGTGTTGTCACAAGTAACAAAAGAAGCCTGTAGACACTGTAGAGTGGGGTGGGGTGCAGTGTTCCCTCTAAGCTGAGTTAGTGTGAGCTAGCTCACAATTGTTTAGCCTCTGGCTCACACATTTTTGTCTTAGCTCAGGAAGGAGGGCTCCAGAACAAACTCATTGATGCAGGAGCCAAATCGCTGGCTCACAACTTTCATGCCAGTAGCTCACAAAGTAGAATTTCTGCTCACAAGACTCCACAACTTAGAGGGAGCATTGGTGGGGGGGTGTTGTTTTTTGTATAATGGAATTTCCCTCCCACAAAAACAGTCTGACACACACCCCCTCCCAGCTGCTGGTGGAAAGTGCGGCTAGGTCACAGCAGACTTATGGTGACCCCCGTTGGGTTCTCAAAGCAAGAGACAAACAGAGGTGGTCTGCCATTGCCTGCCTCTGCATAGCAACCCTGGACTTCCTGGGTGGTCTCCCGCCCAAGAACAAAACCAGGGCTGATCCTGCTTAGCTTCTGAAATCTGATTAGAATTAGGCAAGCCTGGTCTATCCAGGTCAGGGCAAGAGTCGTTCAGAGGTGGTTTGCCTTGGCCTGCCTCTGCATAGCAACCCTGGACTTCCTGGGTGGTCTCCCATCCAAGTACCAACCAGGGTTAACCCTGCTTAGCTTCTGAGATCAGACAAGACTGGGCTAGCCTGGGCCATCCAGGTCAGGGCAAGAGATGTTCAGAGGTGGTTTGCCTTGGCCTACCTCTGTGTAGCAACCCTGGACTTCCTGGGTGGTCTCCTATCCAAGGACAAAACCAGGCTAGCTCTGCTTAGCTTCTGAGATCGGACAAGACTGGGCTAGCCTGGGCCATCCAGGTCAGGACAAAAGACAAACGGAGGTGGTTGGCCATTGCCTGCCTCTGCGTAGCAACCCTGGACTTCCTCAGTGGTCTCCCATCCAAGTACTAACCAGGGCTGACCCTGCTTAGCTTCTGAGATCTGGTGAGACTGGGCTATCCTGGTCTATCCAGGTCAGGGCAAGAGACGTTCAGAGGTGTTTTGCCCTTGCCTGCCTCTGCGTAGCAACCCTGGACTTCCTTGGTGGCCTCCTATCCAAGGACAAAACCAGGGCTGACCCTGCTTAGCTTCTGAGATCTGGTGAGACTGGGCTAGCCTGGGCCATCCAGGTCAGGGCAAGAGACGTTCAGAGGTGTTTTGCCCTTGCCTGCCTCTACGTAGCAACCCTGGACTTCCTGGGTGGTCTCCCATCCAAGAACTAACCAGGGCTGACCCTGCTTAGCTTCTGAGATCGGACAAGACTGGGCTAGCCTGGGCTAGTCAGGGCAAGAGACGTTCAGAGGTGGTCTGCCATTGCCTGCCTCTGCATAGCAACCCTGGGCTTCCCACTCAAGTTCTGACCAGAGCCGACCCTACTTAGCATCCAAGATCCAATGAGACGAGGCTAACCTGGCCCACCTAGGTCAAGGCAAGAGATGTTCAGGGGTGGTTTGCCACTGCCTGCCTCTGCGTTAGCAACCCAGGGCTTCCATGCTGGTCTCCCATCCAAGGACTATCCAGGGCTGCTTAGCAGCCTAGATCTGATGCGATTGGGCTAATTTGGGCCGTCCAGGTCAGGGCCCTTCCCAGGCACCTGGAGGAAAAGAGCCTTGGGGTACACCATGGTGGGTTTGGATGCTGGCTTTCCAGCAGGATTGGAAGGGATCTGCTCCTGTCTTCCGCTGCAGCGCTGATTTCTCTTTGTTTCTCTGTGGCCCTCCGTACGCACAGACTGTGAGTCGTCCGAGACCCTCAGCTCCTCCTCGGCCCTCACATCTCTGCAGTGGGTCGCGGAGATCCTGCCATCCAGCATCAAGATCCAGGGCAGGACCTTCCACCAGCAGCTGGAGCATCTGCTCACGCCGCCCGAGCGCTACACGGTCTGCAAAGCCCTGGAGAGCTTCTTCCAGCACAGGTGAGAGGCGGCTGCCTCCGTCCCTCCCTCCACCTCACGTACGCAGGGAAGGACCCAAAATTCTCTCTCTCTCTCTCTCTCTCTCTCTCTCTCTCTCTCTCTCTCACTCTCTCTCTCTCTTTTGTTAGCGTTTTTTATA